TTAAATGACAATTCACATTTTTTATATTTATGTGGAAGAAATACTACATCTATATAAAGAATATTTTCTTCATTGTGTTGAAGAATGGAAAAAAATGCAGTGAATGAGAAATTTCTATACTATTGTGTTTATATTTTAAATTTAATTAACATGGTAGGGTCATGACAAACCCCCACACACCTAGTCTCACAACTTATTTGTGATGGCTTTTATTAAAAATTAAATAAACTGTAGTGAAAGAGAGAGTTAAAAAAGGAAAATTACTCTTAATCTTCAACTAATTCACTATTTAAAATTGAGTAACTTTATATTGAAAGAAAGTATTCTTTTAGTGAAATTAGTCATTTGAGTTATACGATGTTATTAAATTATTTTGTCGAAGATTATGTTGCAGTGGACTTAACATGATCTATAATTATGATTCGGTTCGGATTTTATATTAGCCATCAATAGACGCGTCTTCGTAAGCAACACATAGGCAGAATACAAGAGAAGTAGTAGTATATATATTTCAATTCAGGTGCTATACACCCTCATTAATTCATTTTACTGTTTCAATTTATCAAAAAAGAAAAGAAAAAGAGTAGTGATGGCGGCACATAACATAGGCGCGTTCGAAGAAGGAAGCACGAGCTCACATACTGAAACAACAAACCCTAATACTCCTCCTTTAATTACGAGGTACTTGTAAGCCTTCTAAGTTTTTTGTAGTGATCAGCGTTGTATTGAGGTCAGATCTAGCCCCCCTCTACTCCTTTTTTGCTAAAAGAAAATTAAGAGATAATAATAAAATGAACACATTTATCTTTTTTTCCACATTATAAAAACACACAATAAAATAGTATTACTTTATTTGGTGTTCATTGAATCTGAATACGTTGTTAGTTTCAAAATTGTTTTTTCTTATAATAAAAAATGTACTAGTTTTTTTGCATCGTGCGGGAAAACGATGGAAAAACTTATTACCATTCAGTCGCTATATATGATGTGTGAACATAAGTTACAAGTTGGTATAATACTGAACATCGTTTTGACTAACTCATTTTCTGAATCTCCATATATAAGGGATGTTAGTGTATCTCCTTGCAAGATCCGGCGGATTGTGGTTGCCTTTCTACTAGCTTTGTGGTCGACTTTTTCTGTGAGTTCATATTTTTTTATACATTTAATTGTTTTATTTATAAATTTTTACTAGTATGTATTTGCTTTCTTTTTGGTTAATTTATGACGTGGTTGTTTTTATGAACTCTTACCTCATTTGGAGACCAAATCCCAGATCTAAGGGTTTATTTACTTTAATTTATGTAACTATAATTATATATATCATATATGGCATCTTTTTGAAGAAAAGGGCATCAATTATACGTAAATTTTAAAAAGAAATTAATCGTTTCAACATTCAATTTTAGAAGAAGCCCCAAAAAGTATATATGAAAAAGAAGAGGGACACTAATTAATACAAAAAGGATTTTTGGTGACTGACTGGATTGAATGGAGAAAAGATAGATTAGACACTGAATTTGACTGAAATAGACCGACTGCGCTGTCCGTCCCTTTCCAAATACTCCCTATTTAGTTGTCCACTTTAGAAATGACACACATATCAAGACAACAATGATTAGCATAACAAAATTATAATTTTACCCTAATAGTACAATTTACAATTATCAAAATAAATTTACTCAAGATAACTAATCAATGCTCTGAAAAGTTCATAAGTTTATATTTATAACAACTTTTCACTTCAAAATTACAGGCTCTTCTTTGAATTCAAATGAAATAAATTGAAAGAAAACAACATACACTTTTACAATATGCTTAATTTTTCCCTTTGAATCTTCGAATGCTTCTATTCGATCTTCATCTTTTCTTTTTAAATTTTTGACTTCAATAATTTTTGGATCTTCAATCAATATAAGTGAGCCTTCTACTTTGATAGAAGTATTAGTTGAAACTTCAAGTTTATTTCTATCCATTTTTTTGAGTAAAAAAATTGTTCAAAATTTTTACTCATAAACTAACGAAATATTTTTTGGGTAACTAAAAGGATTATGTGACTCCCCAAGTATAATAAATGTATTGTCTGGTTCCAAAAAGGATGAATTACAACTTAGAAATTTTCAAGAAGTTTAAATTAGGGTATAATAGGAATTTTTTTTTGTCCTTTCTTGATTTGTCAAAATGGACAAGTAAATAGGGATAGTTAATAGAGGAAATATGGACAAGTAAATAGGGACAGAGGGAGTATTTTATTTCCGATGAGCTTGTTGGATTTTATACTATTTTTGGGTTTTCTTCTATTAAAATACGATAATTTCACTAACTAGACAAATTAAGATGTTCATCAAAATTAATTGAGGATAAACTGTTTTTATTAGTATTATTATGTTTAAAATGAATTAATATTAAGATGTTCATGTTTGGATAAAAAATACATGTTTGATGATGTATTAAGAAAATATTAATTAATTTTTTCCCTATCAAAATCTGACTATACAAAATATTGTGTTTATTTAAAAATTGATAAATAGAAAAGTTCAATAAATAATTAAATCAATCAAATATTATATCAATCAAATATTTTGAAAAATTATGTCCATTGGTAACGATGATGTCTAGGTGATAGTTATGTATGTCAATTGGAGATGGTTTTACCCCGTGGTTGGTGTTGACGGCGATAGATAATTGTAGTGAATGTCAACTAATATATATATGAGTGGTGGATGATGATGACGATTGACAATATATTTTGATAGATAATGAAGGTGATGGTATATAATTATTGATGATTGTTATAATAATAATGGCTACATGGCTAGTAATAATGAGTTTAAATAATTACTAGTGATGTTGACGATTGATCGTTGTAACTAAATACCAACAATAATAGTAACTAAGTATGCCGGTTGTGCGTGTGAGATAATGCATGGTAGTTGATAATAGTGCACGACGACGACAAAGTGGAAAGAATAATAATGAACTATCATCTTTGCAAATATTTTTAATTAGAAGTCTTTGGACGGAGCGGCAACAATTAGTAAGGAAAGTGAATTGTTCAAAAATTGTAGGAGAGTCTTTATGAAGTACTCGATGGAAGATATTCACTTGGCTTCATATTGTTCAATAATTTGCCTAGACCCAAAAAGATCAAAGACAAAAGGCTAGATTTTACTCTTTCTAACATCAAAAACTTTTCTAGTTGGCGACAAGATTTGAAATCGGACCTGTGTTCTATTATTAAGCATGTTTAAGTGTAATTATGTATCATCTAAAAACATTAAATTATTTAAAGATAGTACATTTTTAATTACTTAATTATATTACGTCTAAATACAGAAAAACTCATTGATTCTGAACAAAAACATGTATATCAATACCTGACTATTTAATCTAACATTTTATATATCCAGGTGGAGCATGAATGTAACTCTGACTTGGAAACTGATCAGAACAGGTGAGAAACAAAGAGCTATTAAGAATGTTTCTTAGAATCATGGTTACCACAGCTTCTAATAGGATTTAAGTTATATATACTTAATGTGTAGGGGATTTTTACATTATTGGAGTGCAAAATTACTTGCCATATATTTTAAGTTACTAATCAATACTTTTGTTACATCGTCGATGCATAGAATTTAATCTCAATATAATTTTGATTAATGCATTGATGGTGGAGAAGAAAAATTACAAATCACATCACTTGTACAATAATTAAATTAAAACATTATGTTAAGCATAACTTAGTGTAATTTTTTTTTCACAAAACAACTTCTCCATCTTTACAAAGTAGGATAAAGTCTGTGTACATATTGCGCTGGTTTTGTTGTTGTATATATTTTAACTGATATAATTAAAATAGTACTTAACTTAAACCCTTAATCTTACAGTACTGCCTCTATAATTTCATGTTGTATCTGAGATTAAACTATATTCCACATTGTACCCATATAAAAACAGGAACTCCCAGAAGAAACTCGATCCTTGCGAATCGAGATGTTTACGTTTAAAGTTCTCACACGAGGTTGCCCCAATGGTATTTACTGGAGAGTGTATTTTTCCCAATGGAACCAAATTGGAATTGGTTGATGCTGTTACTGGGCAACAAGTGAGACATGGGCCTCCAGCCTCAGCACAAGTTGAAATATTTGTACTTAATGACGACGAAAATTGGACAATTGAAGAACTAAACAGTCATATTGTGATGCAAAAAGGAGGTGGAACATCAAGGTGCGACAAAAATCCATATCTGAGGTTGGAAGGAGGCGTTGTTTCTGTTAACGAAATTAAATTCAAGCACACTGCAAAGCATATGAAGAAGTCGAACGGGGTAAAGCTAAGAGCAAGGGTTGTCGATCAACCTGAAGTGATAGAGGCCGTGACAGGACCCTTTACTGTCAAGGATAAACGTTCAAGTGAGTATTATATTTCTACTTTTTTAACTTTAATAAACTAAATAGTGAGTCAATTTGATCAGTTACGTTTTTCACAGAAAGCAAGAAGCGGTACCCTCCATCACCAACGGATGATGTATGGAGACTAGAGCATATTTACAAAAATGGTGCTTTCCATAAGCGGTTGACTGAAAACGGTATAAAAACAGTGGAGGATTTCCTAATTGAACTCAAAAACAATCCTCAGAGGCTACGCCATGTAAGAAATTACTAATTCTATCCAAGAACCTTAGTACTACTATTTTGCAAAATTTATACTTGCGCAACAATCAGGCCAATATACTGATTATATTTTTTGTAAGAAGCAATACATCTGAATATTTATCACTTTTTGAACGTGTAGATCCTTGGCAAAAGCATGTCTGAAAATTATTGGATAAAAGCTACAACGCATGCTAAGACTTGCAATCTTGATGGAAGAAAATACTTGTACCATCATTTGGAGACGGAACAAAAATTTACGGTGGTGTTTAATGTTGCTGGTCAGGTGATGTGGTTGGACTCGGGGTGTGGTTTACATCATTTCAAAATGCTTTCTGAATCACACAAGGTATATATATTTATTGATTGATTGTGAGAATAGTGGACTATTTTGTCCATTTCTAGTTCCCTGCTGCTTCAATTTTTTGATTGACAAACAGGCGTACGCACACAAGTTAGTGGAAACTGCATTTACAAACTGGGAAAATGTGGAAAAATTTAATAACGAGATACCTTTCATGGATCACTTATCACCCTCTCTGGAGCTAGGATGCATGAGCAGATGTAACTTGGGGAATTTGGTCGAATGCCAGTCTTTAGAGTTTCAAAATACTTGCGTGAGTACTACTTTAATTTCTCACCAAATGTTAGTATTTGCTTACCACACTACTAATACGAGCTTTGAAAATCTCTCTGAACTATTTCGTCACATTTGATTCAGGGAACGACTGAAAGTAACTGGTGGATAGACAGTGCTGAATGTTCTACTGACCGGCAATACGAGTCAGATCATGAGATGTCTCTTGCTATAACGTCTCCTGGCCATTCAGGTTGGGGGTATCTAAATTCCCCCAACGATATCACATCTGCAGCGCCTATATCAGATCAATCAGGAGATTGGGAGGAATTTATACAATTTCTTAGTTCTGATGAAATTGAATTTGAGGATGAGCTTGGCCAAGCCAACAACGACTCTGTTGCTGAAACAAGTTCCACACAATTACAACATGGTGATCATTTGCAAAACTTGAAGGATTCTAAACATGTTTACACAAATGCTAATCAGCAGAGCCAAATGAACAGTGTCTCATTGGTTCCAGTGGGCTCGACGTGCAAAGGCAAGTCTAAGAAGGGCTGGATCAAGATATCTAGCATACTGAAATGGTTATCTCTGAAGAGGTTTGTTAAACTTAAAAAGCTCCGTATGACCAAGAAGCGCAAATTAATTTTCCCACAGTGAAACTGAGAACAAAAAAACACTAGCTCGCTCTGTCCTATTTAGCTGTGGTGGAAAACGATCAACAGACAACATGTGAAGCTAGGACGTGGATGAATAATTTTGTGTGTCTTTTATGAATATCTTGACTTCATGTTTCACGAAGTTGAGAACTTATTGAAAGTACTTTTGCACCGTTAGACATGCTTTACAGTTGCACTATATATCGTATCAGCTTTCGAAAAGGAAGTTCTAAACCAAACTAAACAAAAAGCTAAGAAGCGTCGGTCAAGCTAGTGTTAGGAATGAAGATTTGTAGAAGAAGTTAGCAAGCATGTGAGAAATTCTCTGGTCTTAAACTACTGTTAATTAATAGCTTTACCAATGTGACAACGCGAATCGCTCGATGCCTCTATCTATAACTATCCTCTGTTTCTATTTGAATATTGTTATATACTCCTATTAAATATAAATGTGAAATTAACTTGTGAATTGTGTGGTTTTTAGATAAGCTTATCTACTAGCTTATAAGTATGATAATTTATTCAACGTGTTTGGTATAAAATTTATATGCTACGTAAGTACCTATAAATAAAAAATAATTCACCATCTTTAACAATAATGATAATTTCTGAAATCTTTTATGAAGTTTGGACTTATAACACAATCTTCAATTTCGTGATAATAAATATTTTGGAAGGGACTATCAAAATTGAATTATAAATGGTTAATTGTTACGGAAGAAAATTAGATTTCAGATTTTTATTAAGTTTAAGTATGAAAATAAAATATACAATATAAAATTAAAAAATAAAATAAATAGGTGATAAGTTTATTAGTAACTAGCATATTGAATATGATTGGTCAATTCTTTTTATAAGCCAATTTGACAGCAAAATTGTTACATGCAAATGCATTTGAAGTGATTCAAACTCGTGTGCGGTCAATTAGAACCCACTTGATCGCTACTCCACAACTAAGATGTGTTCATTGTGAGCTCACGTATATAATCACTCACTTGATACCACGTGGGTCTGTTCCTAATGGCTGGTTATATATATTGCACTGTATGAAAAGAGAGAAGGTACGCATTTCAATTGTAATTTTTCAAAAATTAAAAAAAAAAATGTTAAAATTTTAATTCATAATGATTTGTGAAGTTCAAATCTAGAAATAGTTCATATAATTCAATGTTTTAAATTATCTAACATATTTTATCCTTGATATTTCATAAAATTCTAATTTTCACATCAAAATATAACAACACTTAATAGTTTTGAACCCCGCCATTGTGGCCATTTAATTAAATTTATACTACTAATATAAGTAGAAATAGCTTCCTATTTTTCTAGGCAAGTAATAACTCAATATTAAGTTTGAGTGTGAATAGTATTAGTATGTTCACTATCCAACTTTCAAATGAAAATGTGCCAATTGTCAAATGGTCTTTGCTTCCCAAACCACTTTTAACTTTAAACAAAAATCCAACCCACCACATTAACAGATTAACTTATTTTATATTTCATCTTTCATCATTCATATTTCTCGTTCTTTTTTTCTCTAAATTCTTTTCTAGGTTTCCTTAAAACTACCAACAAAGAATGAGGAGCTAGTTGTTACTTCTTATTTCAAGAAACAAGAAATGTAGTTCTACAAATAATGACGAAACTTGAAAAAAGAGGTACGATCCAAGAAAAAAATAAAATAAATGAGATCAATTTTTAATGTATTCTTAACTTGATTGATTTTGATTTGTGAGATAGGTAAGATTGATTATAAGAAGTAAAAAATAAATCTTTTAATTTTCTTATTTATGTAAGGTTTTTTTTGTTGGTTTTAGCTATGAATTTGCTTTCTTTTTGGTTCGCTGTACTTGTTACTTTGGCTTTCACATATTATTACTTGCTTAGATTTTGACAAATTTTATAGGATTCTTGATTGATTCTTAGATGGGTAAAGATCAACCTTCTAATTTTTTTGATCAAATTTTCTTGATTAATATTTATATATATATTTTACTCTTATTTAAAAAAGAATACCGTAATGGATAATAACTTAATAATTAATTTTTTTTTCAATTGTCAATAAAACATTTCATGTATTATTTTATAAGACAAGAATAAACATAAATAAATTATTGTATGCTACATAAATATACAAATATTTAAATCTCTATTATTGATTATAGTTTTGAAACTTTTTTTCAATATAATCAATTGTTACATTAACTATCAAAAAATGTTATAAAGTGTTTTGAAATAAAATTAAGACTTCATTTCATTGAATATGCCAATTAGAGTATCATTTTTTTACCATATAATTTTTTGTAATACTTTTAATTACAAAAATCAATATTGTAGTGATTGTTACCTTTTAAATACATTCAAAATTAAAGATAATATTTTTTTTAAAAATTAATTATTTGATAATCTAATTAGTTTGAGCTTGAAATGTTTAATAAAACATCTCAAAGAATTAAAGACCATCTTACAAAGTCAATATTAAAACATAGTTGATTCAAATTGAAGTGAATTAGACAAGTTAAGAAATAAAAAGTAATTGTAAATTTAATTATCTACATTTTAATGATAACTACATCAATAATAAAATTTCAAAGATATATGCATAATAATTAATAAGAGATTAACACCAAATTATTAAGAAAAATTTAACTAATACTAACAATAAATACATAACTTATTTATATTCTTCTTAGGATATTTATTTTCTTCCAAGTGTTAATACGGTTCTTAACCCTGGTTGTCTCTATTAGGTATTTATCTCCTCCATCTTTTTGTCTGCTCAATGCTTTGGGGATTAGATACGTATCTGAAAAAGTATTGGTCAATCCTTAATGAAAACAAAAAATAATACTCTACTATATAGTATGAGAGAATATTGTTATGTGGCAAATTAAATTAAGTTATTGGTACCTGTCAGTACCTGCCCCATTTTCCGTGCTGAGAAAATAGAACGTGTCTTATTGATTGGATTTCATGTCATAAATCTAAATAGGTAGTTAAATATCATATGAGATTTGTGATAATGAATAAATAAATAATGACTCGTGAATTAAGAGAGGTATTCAAATATCGTATGATATTTGTGATAATGAATAAATAAATAATGACTCGTGAATTAAGAGAGATATTTAAATATTGTATGATATTTGTGATAATGAATAAATAAATAATGACTCGTGAATTAAGAGAGGTATTCAAATATCGTATGATATTTGTGATAATGAATAAATAAATAATGACTAGTGAATTAAGAGTAGATTAAAGAAATCACCTAAAATATAATGTTTGATGAAATAGCTCGAAGAATTGCAAGAAAAGGAACAATTTACCCATCCGACTAAACTCAATAATGCTTTCGCCTTAACTTCCAACCCTCAACGGCCACTTCTAAAAAAATAGAATAAAATTCGTCTTTACTTTATCTTGTGGTGAATTTATGTGAAATTCGATATAAAATTGTGAAATTAACTTATGTTACTTTTAGATAAGCTTATAAACTAGCATACAAGTATGATAATTTATCCTATGAGTTTGATATAAATGTCTAAAAAATGTATATGATAACAACTTATAAATAGAAAAATGTTTCACCATCTTTAACGATAAAGATAATTTCATAAAGCCTTTCTGAAGTTAGGAATTATAACGCATATCTCTTTTAATTTGTGAAAAAAAATAAAATAAATAAATAAATAAATATATATATATATATATGTGTGTGTGTGTGTGTGTGTGGTAACATAACTATTATTTAACTTATAATGGACATATATATATGTCTGTATCAATTTTATGTCTTCTTTTATTTTGGATAGCAAAATGGGGTTTGGGATAGAATTCTGTCGTTAACTGTTGAAGAACCTTTATTTTCAAACATGTTCGTATTAATTATTTCCTCTTTGAACACCAACCCAACAATGAGGAAGTCAAAAATTGGCACGTTTGGGCCAACATGATCTTATAATAATATATTAGTTATATTAAATGAGACAAAATTTATATTATTATTTATTAACTTTAATTTGTCTTCGATAATTGCACAGTAGCGACATTTTTAGGAAACAACGATTAGATGGGAGTTCATTTAATTATTATTATTATTTTGAAGAAGAAAAAAGACTTGATATAAAAGTCAAGCAAATGAGAGACAAAAAGTTAGGGTCTTCATTTTTTAAAGTACTTTTTATTTTACTCCCTCTATTTATTCATAAGGATACCACCACTTAGTAATTAAATTTTAAAAAGTCATCCAATTAATAATGGTTTCGTTAAGACAATCATATCAAATTATGCGGATTCATGTACTTTGATTGATGATTCTTTTCAATCATAACTAGAGTAGTACTTAACAATGAATTGAAACTTTGACAACACAAAAATAGATATATCATTATGACCAAAAGTTTTTATTTTCTCCAACGCACTTTCATATATAGCACCTGTACGTAATTTTTGAGAATAACATGAATTTCAACCTAGTTTACTACATTTTTCTTCTTTATTCCTTAATAACACCATCTTAATTAGATTGAACAATTATTAATTTTCTCAAAATTAGCTTATTACTCCCTCCGTCCCATTTTATATGAGGTACTTTGACTTGGCACGGAGTTTAAGAAAGAAAGGAAGACTTTTAAAACTTGTGGTCCAAAATGAATGATAAAAATTTGTATAACTGTAAATCATTTCATTAAGGGTAAAATAGATATTTTATAGTTAGATTATTACTTTATATAGAAATGTGTCATTCTTTTTTAGACTGACTAAAAAGGAAAGTGAGTCATATAAATTGGGACAGAGGGAGTATTAATTTTGGTAGGTTCTCAAAATCAGCTTATTATATTTGAAAAGCATAATCTTGAATTGGGTTATCGTCGAACTAGAAAAAAGCAAGTAATTGTAAAAACCACTTTTCTAGTCAAGTCAGGCCGCAAAGTGAGACTTCCCACTCCTAATTAGTAATTCAGATTCCTCAGCCATGATTTGCAGTACATATCTCTTTTCTTGAAGAAACAATAATTTCATCGCTTATAAGCATAAGACGTACGTTATAAAATTTTAATTTAGCATTGTATATTTGAGAATTGATTTTTAAATTTGAACTTAAAACTCAGGCAAACTGAAGTAATATTATGAATTTTGACTTATTTCTGTTATTTTGTTTGAAAACACTTTTTTTTTAATCTTACCTCCGCCAAACACCACACATCTTTTTTCGTCTCAATGTTTTATTACTTGCGATATTTTTATTATTACGAAAAATTGGACTCTATTCATTTTTTATTCTATCTTTTTTTTTTTTTTGAAACCCACGAAGTATCACAAGGCAAATGTTTAAGAAGTAGAGATTATAAAAACATACACGTCCCATGTACTTAAGAAGTAAGAACTACTCGTAGATTTACCATTACACGTCAAATGCTTATGTTCTTTTATTAATTTTGACTTTCGTTAGATAACATAATCTTTATTAAGAATTTTATTCTGGTCGGCAAAAAAAAAAAAACGTGAGTTCTTTTCTGGGAAATTTATCATCTTCCCGTCTAATTAAATGGTTTAGATCGCTAACGTGTCCGCCAAACTCCTGACAAAATGATTAAACGTTTTGCTAATGACAGCATAAATGGAAATAGATATGTATCTAAAAAAGTATTAGTTCATTTTTAATTGGAAAAAATTACTTTACTATAATATGAGAGAATATTGTTATTGGCTAGAGTATAAAGTGCAGCCGTAAAATATACTGACTAATTGGTATCTGTACGTACCAACCCCTTTTTACACGCTGAGAGAAATAGAATGTGTGACAATGATTAGATTTCATGTCATAAATTTCAACACGTACGCATTTATATTTAAATTATGTGAGAGAATTGAGATGAATGATAAACTAAAATTAATAATGACTCATGAATTAAGAATAGATTAAAGAAATTGCCTAAAACAATTATGAAGATAAAGATAAACTTTCAAATCAGACTTTAAGTTGACTTATATCATTTTAAGTTTCGCCCTAATCCCCATTTACAATTGAATTAGATTAGACTAGTTTTACTAACTTCGTTTTCCAATGATTCATTGATGAAATTAGGACGCCGGTGTAAACAGAATGTTCGCTTGAAATGGAACAATTTAACCATCCGACTAAACGTAATAATGCTTCTTCCCCAGCTTCCAAACCTTTTAATTTTTTTAAATTTTTATGTGTGTGTGTGAGAGCGTGCGCATGTGTTAATGTTATTTTTTAAAAATTCTATATTAATTATTGAAAGAAATTTATGTACTTGTATTGTAGAAAGCGGGTGAGTGAGGTTAATGAGGGGACATTGATTCCTTTCAACTGTCAAACAAACAACTTCAATTATGTAGAAAAACAGACTCCCAAAAAAGTAGTAATGTTCACACACTTAAAACAACGCGTATGTGATATTTTGGCTTTGTCGTCTACCAAATTTTTATTCCGGTTACACCGTTAAAATTAAACTAACACCCCATCCTACCCAATTTTTTCATTTAATTTGCTCTCAAAAGAAGGATAGTAATAATAAATAAGGCGCTTATGACATGATTATTCCACTGTAAGCATTTATTTTCAAAGAAAAATGTGGGATTGGCCATCCCACTCTATAGTTACAACTTATTGTAACGGCGGTTATTTAGGCCGTTAATACACACGCGTCTTCTAAGTAATGTGTAGGAAAAAGAGAGGTACATGCAGAATAGTAATCCTACTATATATATTTTAGTTCATTTTCCCTACAGAATCATATAGATTATTATAGCATTCTTTTTGTTGGTTTTTCTTTTTATCCAAAGATAATATATAGTTGATGGCGGCACTTAATATAGACATGTTCGAAGAAGGAAACTCAAGCTCAAATACGGAAACAACAAACTCTAACACTCCTCCTTTTACCAGGTAATAAAATTAAATCACACATCTTTTTATTTTCCACATTATAATCGGATCAAGACACTGGTTACAATTTGTTGATGTAATTCATCAAATTCCAAATACGTTGCTGTATGATTTGGTTTCAAAAATTCATTTTTCGTATAGTAAAATGTACTATAGCTAGCAGCCTCTCTTTCTTTTTTTTTTGTCTCGTTCAGGAGAAAGAGAAACGTAATAATTAGTCGCTATATATCTATATCATGTGGGATCAAGTTGTACATGTGATGCATCTGCTTTCATAGAAATATTGAACCATATATATGGACTATGGTTGACGTTGACTAAGTCATTTTAATTTCTGGTGTTTTATTAGATCTCCATTGTTTCTTTCTGCAGACTCCTACGGCTTATGGTCGCCTTTCTGCTAACTTTCTGGTCGACTTTTCCGGTGAGTTATAAATATTTTCGATTCTTTAATTGTATGTACGGATTTGCTTTCTTTTTGGTTAGTTGTGTTAAGAATTTCCACATCGAAAAAGGGGATTTGTTCTCTTTATATGGACTTGGACAATCCTTCCCTCATGAGCTAGCTTTGGGATTGAGTTAATCCAAGATCCATTTTTTCTTTCGTTCACCAAGTAAACTTGATAGGATTATGTTGGTTCATATATATTCATTTGCTTAATTAGCACAAATGGATAATATTCCCCGATTGGACTTCAAGCATTTGTGGTTTAATTGGCTGCAAATATAATTTGCCCGATGTTTCTGTAAATTCTTGGCTTGTTTTTCACCCAAAGTTGTCGATCTATGCTGCTTGACGAAAAAACTTTGATATACTCCGTCCCAATTTATATAACACATTTCAGATTTCGAGATTCAAACAAGTTTATGACAGTAAAATTTTTATAAATATATAAATTTCATTTCAAAAAAATTAAAGATTTCATATCCAAATTTCCGGTCAAACTTAAGTTATTTGACTCTTAAAAATAAAACGTGTCACATAAATTGGAAAATGGGAGTATAATTTTGAGTGGACAAAATGAATGAACTCATGAACAATTCCCAGATCTGGTTGGGTTTTAATTAATATAACTACATATGGCATTTTTTTTTGGTTGGTGTTCATATATGTTTATTACAAAGGCCTCTTTTGGTATATGGTTGGAAAGAAATTAATCTTTTCTGGAACACAATATATATATATTTTTGGATACGTACTAGATTTTTTTCTTTGTGGAGAAAAGGGCATCAATTTTTTGTAAACTTAAAAGGGAAATTAATTAATCTAATCAATTGTAGATTAACCTCCAAAAAAAGTAAAAAGAAGAGAAGGATCAGACACTGAATGCAAAATCTACAAAAAGCAAAAAGCTGAAATATTCCTTTGTAAACATTCCTAGGAAAATGCATAATTAAGAATATTTTATTTCCTATGATCTTTCGTAGATTATTTTATGATAAATTATGATAAGTGAATATTAAGATATTCATTAAATTTCAAATGTTTGGATAAAATGATTGAGAGGTTGAATTAACAAAACACTAATTAAAATTACTTCTCCCCTTAAAATCTGAATTTACAAAATATTGTCTTTATTAAAAACTTTATAAATAAAATGGTTGTGGATAGTATAGTTGGTAACAGCAATGGTCAATGGTGACTGTTAGAACATATTAATGGCGATGTTTGGTATGGTAAATGGCGGCAACAATAGATAATTGTTGCGGATGATCGCTAATAGATAAATGGTAAATGTTTGATATGGTGGTGAATGGTGATGGAGGTTAGCGATATTTTGTGATAGTACGTCGATGATGGAGATGATTGTAGATAATGATTGATGATTGTTATAATAGTGATTACTAGTGATTATGATGATTTTTAAATAATGATTAGTGGTATTAACGAATGACTATGATAATCATTGGCAAGATGGTAGTGACTAGGGTGTCAAAAATGAACCCAAACATAGGTAATCCGCCTAAAATTTCAAGGGTTGGGCTCAAGATAATTTGAATTGGTTCAATCTCAACTCATTCAACCCTAATCCATTTTAAGAGAATCTTCAATTGAGCCCAATTCAATCTCCAATTTCAACCCGTTTTAAAACTTTTTACTAAGATATGTTCAAATATTAAAGGTATGAATTATTATCTATTTAACATCTTTTAGGATTTATCTATCTATTTTTTATTTTTTTAAATCTTGAGCTGAAATTCGAATTGTGATTATAAAAGTTAAATATCACTATGTTAAAATTATTGAGATTAATCGGGTCAAATTGGATGGGTCAAGACCCAACCCATTTTTTAGCCCATTTGAACCCAACCCATTTGAGCCCAAAGTAAACTTGGGCGGGTTAAGACCCAACCCAATTATTATTTCAACCCATTTTAATATCTCTAATTTCAATCCAACCTGCCCATTTGACACCCCTAGTGACTAAGTATGACGGTTGTGCATGTGGATTAATACATGGTAGCTGATAATAGTGAACGAAGGAGGCAACCATTAGTAGTAGAAGTGGATAGAAATCTTTAGGCGGAGACGGCGAGAATTAATAGTGAAAGTGATTAGAGAAAAACATAATTTTAATTACTAAATAACATTATCTTTAAACACACCCCTAATGTGTGGGCTTGATGTTTGTGCACATGCCAAACACGGGAATGTGATTCTTTTGTCGATGAGATTTGAAATCGGGACCTATGTTCTGTTATGATCATGCATATTGAAGAGTGATTATCTCATCTAAAAGCATCAAGTTATTATAGATAATAAATCTTTAATTACTTAATTATATTATGTCTAAATATACAAAAGCTCATTAATTCATCCGAACAAATGCATGTATATGACTATTTAATCAACATTTTATAGATCCAGGTGGAGGATGAATCTCACTCTGACTTGGAAGAAATTTTGACTGATCGGAACAGGTGAGAAACAAAGCTATTAGGAATGATTTTCAGAATCATGATTTCCAGTACTGCTTTTATTCATGTAGTGAATTTTTATAAAATTTAATGTGATTTACTACCATGTTATAGCAAATTGCGTATCATATATTATAGGCTACTAAACCATACGTGTTATATCGTCAATGCATAGAATTTAATCTCAAAATAATTTTAAGTAAAACATTGATGGCAGAGAAGAAAATTACAATCACATCACTTGTACAATAATTTAGCATTAATTGGTATAATTGATTTTTCAGAAACAACTAAAGTCGTCAATATGGGCTAGGTCCGTTGGGCCGGCCTGACCTAACCCGTGATTTAATAGGGCTGTGCTACCATTTTTGGAGCCCATTTAAGAGAAAGACTTTTTAGCCCGGCCTGAATAAGCCTGTCGATTTGTGGGGTTTGAGAAATATGGATAAGGCCGGCCGTGGGCCAAATAAAAATTAATTAAAAATAAATATAAAAATAGAGTATTAAAAATAACAGGAGTCTACGCTCAAAATCTGTTTAAAGTTTAAAATATTACAATTTAAATATAAATTATGTTTATAAAATATGTACCACATAAAATAAAGTTCCTAAAATTTCTAGGGGATACTACATAGGTCATAGCCTATGGAATATTATCATAGTTTTTGTGTTTTATTATGATCATTGGAAAACAATTAAGTTAATATTTCTATTTAGTTATTTATGTTTTTACTTGAAATCAAAATTAATAAATATTATATAGATAGTTTTATTTGATTAACAAGTAGTAACACTAGTCGATATTTATGATAATATTTTTAAATTATAATTTAATTTAAAAAATATACTTTTACGAAAAGAGGGTTGACCCTTCAAAGCCCGTAGCCCACACACTTGTGGGCTGGGCCGACCATTTTTTGGCCCACATAAAAAATAGGTTAGTCCAACCTGGCCCGTCAAATTGCAAAGCATGTATGAATTAGCCCGGATGGAATGGGTTAGCCCATATTGACAGCTCTAGAAACAACCTCTCTACCTTTAGGCAGGGTAAAGTCTGCATACTAGCTAACTTAGACCCTTAAAAACTTTCATTGCCTCTGTAATTTCATGTTGTATCTGAGATTAAACTATATTCAACATTGTACACATATAAAACAGGATCAATTCCCAGAAGAAATTCGATCCTTGTGAATCGAGATGTTTATGTTTAAAGTTCTCACACGAGATTTCCCCAGTGGTATTTACCGGAGAGTGTATTTTTCCCGATGGCACCAAATTGGAATTGGTTGATTTTGTTACAGGACAACAAGTGAGACATGTGCCTCTAGCCTCATCAGCACAAGTAGAAATATTTGTACTTGATGACGAAAATTGGATAATTGAAGAACTAAACAATCATATTATGATGCAAACAAGAGGTGGAACATCAAGGCGCGACCAAAATCCATATCTGAATTTGGAAGGAGGCGTTGTTTCTGTCAACGAAATTAAATTCAAACATACTCCAAAGCATATGAAGAAGTTGAACGTGGTAAAGCTAGGAGCAAGGGTTGTCGATCAACCTGAAGTGATAGAGGCAGTGACAGGACCCTTTACTGTCAAGGATAAACGTTCAAGTGAGTATTATATTTCTACTTAATTAATTACCTTTAATAACCTGAATAGTGAGTCAATTTAAGTTATGGTTTTCACAGAAAGCAAGAAGCGGTACCCTCCATCACCAACGGATGATGTATGGAGACTAGAGCATATTTACAAAAAAGGTGCTTTCCATAATCGGTTGACTGAAAACGGTATAAAAACAGTGGAGGATTTTCTAATTGAACTCCAAAACAATCCTGAGAGGCTATGCCATGTAAGTAGTTTCTAATTCTCAGAACATTTAACGTTGAGTGACTTTCTAGGAGAAGATTGCATATCTCTGCGCAACTTGTGATATTTTGTGGTGTACCTACACGTACTGATTTCCTGCATCTGGATCTGTTTAGGCCAATTTACTGATAATATTTCTCCAGGTTTCTGCCTTAAGACAGTTAATATTTGTCACACCCCAAATCCGGATGTGATGGCACGTGTCCATTTCCCACCGGACACGTCAACCTAACCCAACCACAACGATAGAGAAGTAGAAATACGAGAATAAAAGATAATAAATAAGCGGAAGACTTTAATTAAGACTCAACACTACCCAGAATTGGTTGTCACATGTACAAACCTCTAAATACAGAATTCGAATAAAAATATACAAGTCTCAGAGTATAGTTCTCGAATAGAACAAAACTGAAAGTAAAGATAACTCAAGGGCACGTCTGGAATGAACCGCTACCT